TGGAGACTTCAAGGATGCCATCATCACCGTCTTCGAAAAAGAGGAAAGAACAGACTGTGGAAACTATTGAGGTATCTCCCTTCTAACCTCCACTGGGAGAATCTTTGCAATAACCCTTGCAAACCACCTTCTACCCCTCTCAGAAGACATCCCCCCAGAATCCCAGAATGGCTTCCACAGTCACCTACACTTGGAAGGCAATCATACTCTGCCATGAGTGATAGCCTATGATGACGGTGTAAAAAATAAAAGCCTAGTAACTTTAAAATGGGGTGGACATGGCCTTTGTCCAGTTTTCCTATGAAGAAGAAAGTATGGATAGTGATGAGTTTTTATTCTAATGGTGTTTCCAGAAATGTACACCCCTTGAAAACACTACAATTATTCCTGTACATAAGAAGGGGTACTTCATGGGCCTAGATTCCAAGAAGTTCAAGAGTTAGTATTTAATCAGCAACTAGGATCATAACAGAGGTCCAATTTGGTGGTTTGAGTGTTGGACAACAGGAGATTAGGGACTGAAACCCACCAGTGAAGCCTACTGGATGACCTTGGGCATGTCACACTCTCTCAGCCAAGTAAAACTTCCTCAGAACAAATTTTGCCAAGGGTTGCCTTAGGGTCAGAAATTATTTGAAGGAACATAAAAACAACAATATTGATATGAATGAAACAGTTTTAATTTCCTGTGGAGGCATACTGGACAATCTCAAGCAAATCAATGTTTACAATTTTTTTAAAAGATGTTATACATTTGTGTCTCTCAGATTATTTTCAAGAGCGAGGAAAGAAGATTATGGACAAAATCTCCCCCCCCCCCCAGCATTTACTGCATTGTGAAGAAAAAGAAGAATCCTTGATCTTTTTGTGATTAGTTTCATTCTTGAGTATGCATATCTTGAGTATGTGTCAAGGTTTAGAAGTTCACGATTTGTGAAAGTCTCTAGCAAGCTAATGCTTTTTCATCATGTCTGACACCAATAATCATGGTTCTTTGGTAGAAAGCAATCTATCATTGCCAATTGGTGACAAAATGGGATGATAGCAAAAAGTTTCCAAAGTATGGACCATATTTTTGAAGATGTAGAAAATGAAGATTTACAGAGAGGTTGGATGTAAGTAGGACCTGTTATAAATTACGCACCACAGATATCCACTATAAAGCCAAATCAATTTCAACTTTCCCATCCTACTGTGAAATATAAGTAGCCGTTCTCATGGTGTGCTTGAGAAATATGATAGAGTGGCAATATAGCCCCTGTCAAAGGCAGGGAAGGAATGTGCTCTTCATCACAGCAGGATATTAGCAAGAAAGATAACAATATATATGAATTTATATTAGAGAAGAAAAATGAGAACCAGCATAGAGAGAGATAACCGTATCACAATTTCTCCGATATTTTGCAATTGTATAGGAAAGGTAATTATAATTCATTGTCTTTTGAAATGAACAACAACAAATACGTGTATAATCAACCTTTAACATTATTTATTTATTTATTTTTATCCTGCTTTTCTCCCATGGGTGGGATTCAGTGTGGCATACAATGGTTGAAAACGGCTAAAATTACATAACATAAAAATTCAACAAAACCAAATAAACAGATGGCACAATTTCAAAGGCCTACATTTATCTGGAATTCCTTCAAACATGGGGAAAATTAACAGCAATGTTAAGCATTGATAAAGAGGAAGAAACACTCATGAGAATGTGCTTTCTGGATTAGTTAAGCTCCCCTTCTTATTTATCTTACCTCATCTTTATTTTACCTAATACCTTTATTTTACCTAAATTCCAGTCCTTTGGAGCTTACCTGTCTGAGCGTTTTTTTTGGTTTAGATCTTATTCTTCCACTTCCAAAGAATTTGAAGATCCACAGTTCTGGAATTTGGGTCTAGGATTACAACAGACTCACTTTTAATATATCTAAAACCATACAAAATCAAGGTAGAGTGATCCTTGGGTGTGTTTATTTATTTTACTGGATTAATATCTTCCAGAATGGGATTCATATGTGGTTCTGTGCTGAGAGCAGTAAGCTTTCCATCAGCATAGGAATCTATTGAAAGATATTTTTTAGTATTCATTTTTCAGGCATAATCTGAAACCCTATTTTTCTTATCTGAATTGAACAATGGTTTGGACTTGGCTGAAGCATACCATACAAATGCTATAGTGTGTGTGTGTTTAGTGATGTCTAAAGAAGCATTCTCTCTAAGCTTATAGTGCCATTTTATGGTCAACTTTCAGTGGAACCTCCATCAGAAGTTGACCATGGAGGCCTAGAGAGTACACTTCTTTTGGCATTGCTAGGTCCTCCAGAGCAAATCTATAGTATTCAAAGTTCTTTACCATATAGTGACCCATTGGTATCAACTGGGGTTTGGTCGCAGGATGACCTGTGAATACCAAGCTGAGAGGTATAGGCAACTCCCCCTCTCCCAAGATTCTGAAGCTTTTGGCCAGCCTGCATGAGCCCAGATGTTTTCTAGACACTCACATATAAATCTAGAAATTTTAGTCAAAAATTAAATTCCCCAAACTGGGTCAATGCACCTATGGGTCAATGAAAGCACTGTTGTTGTAGCTTATTCATTCAGTCTCTTCGTTTATTTGTTCAGTTGCTTCCAATCCTTGTGACCTCATGGACCAGCAGCACTCTACATTACATTATATAATGTTCATAATGTACTTTACATTAATTCTTCTTTTTTTTAAAAAAAAAAACCACCCCCTTCTCTAATCAATGTGGGAATAGTTTAGCATGTCCTGACCTCTGCTCGACTCACTTTGCCTTGGTGCTGCCTCTGGCCTTTTTTGAATGCTTGAACAAAGAAATGGCAGCAGCAACCCGGGGAAGCTAGCCTCTTAAGATAGTAAAACACTTTCCCCTCTCCACTGAATGACCCTTGACTTATCCATGGACCATAACAAAATCCATAATGTTGGCCCCAAAACCTTCCCTCAACTTATACAAGAGGTTGACTTACACACACACATATATATATGTTAGATCCAGATCCTCACCCAGCCATAAAATACATGAATAACCTTAGGCCAGTCACTGTCTTCCTAACCTAGGTGAAATAATATGTGCTGCTGATATTTACAGAATTCCAGAAAGAAAATATAGCAGTATATTCAAGTTTTGTTATGTCACAATCATGATGACTCTTGATGCTTATTTTACCTTATGCAGTAGAGTTTCGCTTATCCAACATAAACGGGCTGGCAGAATGTTGGATAAGCAAAACTGTTGGATAATAAGGAGGAATTAAGGACAAGCCTATTAAATGTCAAATTACGTTATGATTTTACAAATTAAGTATGAAAACATGTTTTACAACAAATCGACAGTAAAAGCAGTTCAATACATGGTAACGTCATGTAGTAATCACTGTATGATTTTAGCATCAAAACATCACAATGTATTGAAACAGCTGTGGATACGGGTGGGAGGCAGACTGCGCTGGATAATAACATAACATTGGATGAGCAAAGGTTGGATAAGTGAGACTCTACTGTATATATGCATTTTCCTTTGAATCAGGAATGGGGGACTTCTAGAAGTTCCACATCTGGCTTGAGAGACTATTGAGTAAAGGAATCCCTGCTGCTATTGATTTTTTGAAAGATGGAGCACTCTTCCAATGCTATGGATAAGGAGCCATGTGCAGTTAAACCAATCACTAGCCAAAGAATCCAATTAAGGAAAAATGCTGCAGTGGCTCCTTCTGACACGTCAAATATGGAAACCCTTGTTTGGGGAAACATCACGTGCAGTAAAATCAGCCTAGTCCCTGGAGGAGATCTAGCTGGTGCTTCAGCAGGGCACTAAGTGACAGTAGTAGATGTGGCACCACACACAACATCTTCTATATCACAGAAAGAGATCTGGGTGTCTCTCCTCAAAGATTTTCCCCATCCCTTCTCTGTTGCCTTGTGAAGCCTTACATGAGGGTTATGTATGTGATGTATCAAGATTGTACCACTTATGGGTCATGTTACACTGATTCAGAAAGTCTATCCTTTTGGTCTTGTCGTTTATTAAACATAAAAGGAAAAATATTATTTCACATATGGTTTAAGGGCATTAACAAGGTCTTAAATTAAATAAAGAAAATGAGAACTAATAACCAGTTGCTGTTTTACTTAAGATCTTGGAATTTCTTTCTTCTGTTCACAGTTACTCTGATTATATTTCAGTATTTTTAAAGGCAAAGAAAACTCCATTACTCAGATTAATATTAAAATGCATTTTAATTTTTAAAATGTTAATGCAAGCCATCCACACACATATTTACATATAAGAAAACAACAACAAAATGCCCAAAGGACTCCAGTGAATTAAAACATGTTTTGGCCTTCTGGAAGGTCCAGCCTTGGGTCAAAACTATTTCAGTAAACAACTAAGACATATCCAGTGTCTCTATAAAATACACAATACATTCATACTATGAGTAACTTATAGTGAAAGACTGCTTAGGAGTAACCCTACCACACAAATGGTAATTCTCAATCCCCTCCCCAATCTACGTACCTAAAAATCAGCTGGTTTTCTTTTGTTATTAAAACATGAAGGACACATTCATTTAGTGACATTTTCATTTTGGAGAATTTTTCACATATATTGATCAGAATTTGCAAAATCTTTCATATTATGCATGGAAAAAAATTGAAATTCAGTCAACTGAATATTAGGATCTGAGTGAAGCTGGTAGATCTTTCCATTTCCTGTGTTCTAGTTGACAAATTATGGATTGCATTTCAAAGTATTAAGTCCAAATATCTTTTGAGAGAAACGAATGCTGAACAGCATATTTGCTCAAGTAAAAAGTCCTATTATGTTCACTGAGACTTTCACACGCAGTTAGGAATCAGTACTGTTGAACTCTGGAGATTATTTCTAAGCAAACCTGTATAAGACTGCACTGCAAGTATATTTTAAGACCACTTCCTGGCTGTGGTATATTCTATTCAGCAATGTTTGGCTTTACTTTTCACTGGTATTTATTTTACATCTTCAAACATTGCATGGCTACTAAATATCAAACTAGCCCATAATTTCAAGGGTACCTCAGCCATGTAAAGTATGTGTTGTTTCATCTCAAAACCACTGTAATGTTATACTATGTAAACAAACCTCAATCCAGACAAAAACGTATAACAAACGTAAGACATTTTGCTTTATAATTTTCCTCAAGTAACTGAAAGATGTGAACATTTAATAAATATCTGCAGCAGATCCTGGTTGCCTTTCTTTTTGTTTGTATGTTACATTTTTAAATGTTGTCGTTGATCCTCTGTAAAGTGGGTTGGTTCCCTAGAACAGAAGGAAAAAACCCCATAAATATTCAACAGATTATTTCACATGTGGTTTAATGGCATGAACAAGGTAGATTTAATATGATGTTTCAAATAGTGATTTGCAGCTTGGTAATTAGTTTGCGAAAAAGTTTCAAAACTAATACGCAATTATCTCCCTGTGTAACAAACCCCTAAACTCTGAAGTGGCTCAACAGTGCTCCCTAGAGCATCTGGTACATTTGGCACCCTGGCCAGTGGGAGAAACAGGTTAGATCTTTCCCTCTGTTTGCATCCAAAACTTAACGAGGTATACAAAATTTAGCACACTGAGTATAAATACTTAGGGAGGATCTGTTCCTACGGGAGTTCTTCCTTTATCCAACTCCATTCATAGGACTATGGTATCACCCTTCCAAGTAAATGATAATCTCTTAAGATTTCTGTCTCCCTCGTATACTGCTCAGGTAAATTGCCTTGATAAAATAAGAATTACAAATTCATCTGTTCTGTTGTAATTAGCCCGATTAACTCTATTTTGACCATGTCTGACATCTCACCCATATCCTGTATCATTTTGCCGAATTCTGCCACTTGCCCTATGCTATGCATAAATGTTGTAACTGTAATATCATGTGCCTAAGGCCACCCCATATGATGTTATGGCTGTAGTGCCAGATCCTGAGAACAAATAACAATTTCTGCCTACATTATGTGTGCCATATATCTTAGATAAGAATTACCACGTAGGCATTAGATATTGCTCATGTGAATTTTATCATTTTCTTTGTAGACTTGAAGTTCTATAAAACACTGATGCTTGAAAGCAACCCTAGCTATCTCAACCAGTGCTGTTAGTAAGTTGGGCTGAAAGCAGTACCGTACTTGGTAGTTCCTTTGGCCAAACATATTGTTTGTTGTCTGTTTGCCTTCTTGATCACCGATTCAAAACAAGGACCTATCTCCAATCATCCATCTGTGTACCTAGTGTTCAACAAGCTGCCTATAGGAAGCCCTCTGGAAGGATTCTTTGCCTCGCATTTCATAATATGCTCTGAGTGGACAACGTATTAAACTAAAGCTTTTAGGTTTAAGAGATAAAAATATACCCATTCCCATTTTTTATACTTGAATGATATGCTTGCCATAGACAAGATGCATATTATTTACTGTTTTTTTTTCATGTCAGGAGTGACTTGAGAAACTGCAAGTTGATTCTGGTGTGAGAGAATTGGCTGTCTGCAAGTAGGTTGCACAGGGGACACCCGGATATTTGATGTTTTACCATCCTTGTGGAAGGCTTCTCTCATGTCCCTGCATGGAGAGCTGGAGCTGACAGAGGGGGCTCAACCTGCTCTTACCGGATTTGAACTGCTGATCCATTGGTCAGCAGGTTTAACCCATTATTATTATTATTATTATTATTATTATTATTATCTTTATTTGTACCCCGTTAACATCTCCCGAAGGACTCGGTGCGGCTTACAAAGGCCAAGGCCCTCAATAAAAACAACAGCATAACAAATACAACAATAAAACTCAAAGCAAACCAATAAACATTAAAGCAATAACAGCAAAACATCAAAACAATCACTGAGGGCTCTGATTATTTGCTATGACCTTTAACATTATTTCAAGAAATTCCAAATATTATTTTAAAAAGTTTTTAAAAATTCAAATAATTTTCAAGGCATTTATAATCTGCCATATTGAGAGATGTTACTTTATTTGTCTTGGGCACGTTGCTCTTAAGAAATATGAGTATATTTTCTCTACACCTGAAACTTTTTCCAGAAACAATGCCAGTATTGCCTAGTCTACTCTTATTCTTAGTTGACCCTGAACATTGTGAGTCCAGGAATGTCTATTGCTCCTATTCAAACCTTAAAACCAAAATGCTATTGTACTGAGGTGTGGCACAGTAAATAAGTATATTGCCACAAGGCATATTAGAATATTTTCTTTTAAAAAAACAACACGGAGCAATACAGCTGAAAAACTAAACATATAACTCGTCTTACCGTTTGCCATTTGGCCTTTAATCTCTCTGCTTCAAATTTAGCAACCTCTTTGCGGTCATGAAATGAAATAAACAATTTCCATATGCAAAGCAGAACAACACCGGTGACAACAACTGCAATTGAGACACCCAGTATAATCACTGTAGTATTGGGGTGTTGGGGACAGTCTGCAGAAAAAGCAAACACATGAGGAGCTACAACCTGCACTGAAATAAATGGGTTAGTCATTGTGAGCACTTACAGGATATCACTAGAACTGAAAAAAATGAATTGAAAACATGCTCAGCATACCTATTGGGTTCAACGGTTGTGTTGAGCTCTTCACCATTTCTTATCCAGTATCCTTTTTCATTAATAGCCCATCAGGAAGAAATCTTTTAGGAGCACTTTCCTCATTATTAAATTGCTTCTAAAACTTTATGGCCTAGGGGTTAAAACTTCAAGTATAGTATATCCCTTGTATCTGGGTAGAGATGTTATTGAACTTATTATGGAAACATACAACCATGGATAATAGTGAACCCTACTGAAATGAACCACTTTCAGCAGAAGCAAATCATAGGATCAAGTTGTAGGACCTAAACAACAGTAGAGAGAACAATTTCTATCATTTTTAGGTTCTCCAGCATGGTTCTATGGTAAACTTCTGGAGAAAGCATCTCATGTAAAGTCATACTGAAGGATCTAGAACAGTGGTTCTCAACCTTGGGTCCCCAGAAGTTTTTGGCCTACAACTCCCAGAAATCCCAGCCAGTTTACCAGCTGTTCGGATTTCTGGGAGTTGAAGGCCAAAAACATCTGGGGACCCCAGGTTGAGAACCATTGATCTAGAAAATGCCAATAGCATATTTTTGGGATGTAGTTAAATACAACTTCGGGTATTGTTTTTGCAGATAGACACATCATACTGTAAAAGGAAGTGTAACTCCCTAAAACCTTGCACCACCCATTGGGAGTGGGCTACAGTGAGAAGCAGGAATTAAACTGGTTGAAGTTTTATGTGTTCAAGGTAGCTTTGCCAGATCTGGCCAATTCTTTCCTCTCATAGTTCTCCAGTTTATTCCATTCAGGGAGAGGATTTTCAGGGGTTATAGAGGAGAAAGTCCCCTTCCATGAGAATCCTTCCACTCATGATTTCTAGATCCAAACCAATATTTATGTGAATACTTTAGAATGAAAATAAACGGGTATACTTTAAGGTAGTGGGTGGTTCTCAACATTTTTTGTCTGCCAGATATTTTGGACTTTTCCCCTCATAATATTCAATGGATATGGACTCGGGGAGCTAAAGTCCCAAACATCGGAGAAACCAAAGATTGAGAATAGCATTTTAGAATGAGGATTTTATTTCAGTTCTTTTTAAAAATAAGAATATGCAAACAACCGAACATTGTTTCATATTTGGGATTGAAAGAACTTGAGATTTGTTTAAAAATGAATTTAGGAGAAATAGAATCAGATACATTCATCGATTCAAGAGCTTAACTCTGAAAAATCTAACTTTTAACAGTTAAAACTATATTAATGATTGCCACCTCTTTTATTTTCTTGTATTAACAGCTATAAAAAGTACCACAAAATATTATCATTTCCATGTTAGAAGCTATTTCAATGGATGGCACCAATGAGGAAAATCTTTGTTTTGTAAGCTGCCCTGAGTCTCTTTGGGGAGATGGTGGTGGGGTATAAGAATAAAACTATTATTATTATTATTATTATTATTATTATTATTATTATTATTAGTTTCCATTTGTTTTTGGAGAATTCACCAAAATTTACAGATTTTTTCATATCTGGGATGATTTTTTTAAAAAAAATAATGTGTGAAAAAATAAAATTGACAGATGTATTCATCCTTAATAGTATACATAAGATGTGAATTACAAAACCTGTGTTCACACTAACAAATGTATCCATCCTTAGTAGTAAATATAAGATGTAAATTACAAAACCCATGTCCTACCTTTCTGTTTTATGCTGTGGATAGTTGTTTTCCCGTGTTCATCAGTTGTCATTAGAAATGTAATAACACACTCATTTTCACCCCGCAATAAACAAGGAACATATTTATCCTCCACAGTCTCTGCGAAGGAAAAAAAAATCTTTTTTCAGGTCAAGATCAATTCACCAAGCATTTAGTATGCACACTGAAGGATTTACAACATTGGGCTGCTTTCAGCAGTCACTGAGGAAGAAAGCTGAAATGCCTAAAAGAATCCCACACAATACATCTACCACTAAAAGGGGTTTCCTTGTTGTTTTTGTTCCTCTCTTTGCTTAGGCTTCAGATGAGACGATCCAGGTGTTGTCAATCTGTGTTGACCATCAAGAGCACCCATCAAACTACTGTAATTTAAAAGTCAGTGAACTGGAAAGTCTTCCAAGAGTTGCCATAGCTATCTGAGGAATATAATAGCCCTGATTAAAGCCCTGATTAAAGTACAAAGCAAACAATATGCTTTGTCTTTTTGCCACTAGTAGTATGTCTAGACTATGTTTCAGTGTGCACCATATTCCCAAATCGAAAGGATACTGATCCTTTTCAAAAGGGCTGTCATTTGTTGCCAACAAAGTACTGTTAGAAAGATTGGGGTGACATTAATTGTGAAATCCTAGCAATATTGAAGTTCTTAGATAAGCCTAATGTCATTAATTGAAATGTGGATTTTGAAAAGGCTAAGATGAAACCAAGATGTTCCCAGCTGTGTAGACAAAGTTTTTTTTGCCTCTCTTTTCCAAAACAAGGAAACACTGATGTTCAATCAAGAGGCCCCAGATCAGGTGAGGTATGGGTGAGTTTACGGTGACAAAGTTCAAAAAGAAACAAGAAGGAATCTGAAACTACCAACTCTTATGTCAATAACTTCCAGAGGCACCATGTCTTGTCTACAGTCTGTCAAATACTTAAAACAAAAAAGGAGTAAGAAAGTCGTATTGAAATTTGAAAATGTTTATAAATCCATGACCACCATAACAGGATAATTTCAAGAAAGGTACTTGGAAATAGCAAACACTTTACCTTTAGAAAACAATACCAACCATGTTAGTATGCTTACTGCTTGTGTTATATACTGTGACTGGGAAAGATTTAAATATAGTTTATCATCATGTGAGAATTCAACCTGTTGGAGTTTGCAAACTTTGTGTGCCTTTACTCGATGGTAGTTTGATGGCATGCAACCTCTAGAAATTCAGGCACAGCAAGTGTGTGCTTATGTTCTGTTTGTGTACTTGTTAAAATCCACTCTTTTCTTGCATCACTTTTCCTTTTATTCCTCTCTACACAAACCCCATCCCGGTTTTCCCTCCATGAGTCATAGAATCAAAGAGTTGGAAGAGACTCCATGGGCTATCTAGTTCCAACCCCCTTCCCCCATAAAGCACGAAGAACACATAGTAGTAAGCCTACTTGAGATACTCCTCCTCTACTGACAGCTCATAGTACTCTTTCTTTTCTTTCACTGATGATGAACCTATGTTGATTATGCATACCTATTCATGAGTCAAATTTCTTCTATGTGTCTCACGAAGAGGACTAAGTTTGCTTTCTTTCTCTGACAGATATTGTGTTTGGAGTGGAGTGGGCTGGTGAGCTGTTCAAACTTCTGCCTAGTGCATCAGATGCTCTGCTCGAAAGATCTACTACAATCTCTCATATTATACACTATATTTGTGTGATCAGGTTTTCCTCCTCTGTCCCCTCCACTGCAGCCTCCCGTACCTTTTGAAAATACATTATGGAGGGGTTATTTGCCCTCTGAGGAAGACTGCGAGGGTATTAAGGGCACTTCAAGGAAAAGAATAAACTATACTTTTAGGGTTATGTACAGAGACAGTTGTGCCAACAGACAAGCTTCATTGAATCTCATCCATCACATTTTCTTTGAATTTAAATGAAAAATTATTTTTTGAGAGAGCCAGGAGCTATTCTGGCTCAGGGACAATGGGATATGGTATCCAAAAGAGGTAGTATTTCCAAGCTCTTTTTCCAAATCCAAGTATCATGAATTAAGGATGTCAATTTCCCCTATGTCACCAGAGTGTCATGCTGGTATTTGCTCACTGACGAATTGCAACGGATGAGTGGAAGGATAAGAGAGTTGGCTTTATGCTCACTCTAGACAAGGAGGTGCCAGCAAACTGGTTCTGAGGAAGCTGTCAACCCATTTGAAAGCTCTTGGCCCACAATACTAGGTCCTGGGAAAAAAAAGACCAACTATGCCATATTCCTGCATATCTTCTGGCTCCTGCCCACCTTGTTGCTATTATTAAATTTGTATGCCAATTTTCAGGCAAAACAGAATCTTCTCAAGGCTACTTCTAAAACGTATCATAAATACAGACTGCAATAATAAAATAATAACACAAAATCAGCACAATACTATTAAAAATAAAAACATCAAAAATTGAAATCTGTCACTCAGTAAAATCAAATATCCAAAATACTTAAATAAGATGAGTTAAATGTATCTTATTCCTCTTAGAAAAGGCCAGATAAAGCAAATAAATGTTAGTAGCTCTCCTAATGACAGATCCTAACATACATCAGTTATCAATATTACCCACTTTCATTCCTGCAGCAATTTCTATGAGAAGAGATTTGTTATTTTGCTTACTCTTTCTCGTCTTCTTGCAGATTCCATATGTTCTTTCCTGATTCTTAATATTAGTCTCTATCAAGACAGTGTCTTTTAAAATAAATGTTCAGGGAGACATCTATTACCCATAAATGTTCATGGCTTAAATCCAATTGTTAATCTCAGATAGAATAATCCTCTGAATCAGTAGGAGTTATAAGTGTTGATTTTCCAAATGTCTTTGACGCAATGAAGCTAATCTAATTGGAACAAACACATTTTCCAATTGAGTTGATTTGGCAGGGTCAGTCCTGAGTAATCCTTGGTCTTCTCACTTTTTCAGATCCCTTTAAAACAATAGTTCTTAACCTGTGGGCTGTGGGCCACCAGTGGGCCACAAGGATGAAAATCTAGTCTGCGAGCCTCCTTCCTCTTTATTTATTTATTTGTTTATTTATTTTATTTCTGCTCCCTTCACCCCAGTTGCCACTCCTTCCCTGTTGCTGACCAGTTCTACCCCCTTGGATAGACCACATCAGCTCTAGATTATTAAATTTGGTTTTCTGTGGGTGAGCAAATGGTGACTACTGGATGGCATATGTTCTATACCAGAAACTAGAAATTATGTGGTCTACTCAATGCAATTTTTCTGAATCAGCACCCCAAATAACCAGACCGAATCTAAAGTTGACTAAAAACCAATTCATAACCCTTTTGCTCCCTCATCAAAGTGGTCCCTGGTGAAAAAAAAGGTTGGGAACCACTGATATCCCAGTTTCCCTCTCCTTTCCACATTTCTCCTTTTTTTCCTCATCTTACTGCAATTGCTACAAACTGAGTTCAAAGTACAAAAACAATTAACTCAGTGGACAGGGATAGGAGAAACAAAGAAAGAGGTGAAAACTGGCCTTTGCCTGTAATCTCAGCCAAATACAAACTACTGTTATCTCCTCTAACCCAGGTTTCCTTCTTCATTAATGAATGTTGCCATCTTGGTCACACTGTTGTTGTTTGGCCACACATGTCCCAAATGTCTTCTATGAAGTGTTGGTGAGAATGAAATAATGACTGACTTTATGCCTATATTTAATGATCATTTTAAACACTGTTGTTTCACTTTCCTTCACACAAATATCACCATGATCTGAAGAAACATATTTCTTTTTATTTATAATATTTTTGTCTTAAAAAATATCAAGATCCCCAGTGTATTTCCAATAGTGTATGTTTTCAGCAACCTGAGGCAACCAACATCAAAAATGAAGTTATACCCCAAACACATAATTTGTGTGTGTGACCTAATTATTACATTTGTCTGATTTAAAAGTGAGGTCATGTCTATGGAGTATCAACACCAGCCTAGATCAGTTTGCTTGACCTCAGGAACTATAGTTATGTCTGATAGTCTTATTTGTTGCCATTGGAAACAGTGTCAATGCACAACTTTGTATAGCAAATTTTTGGGAAGGAAAAAATATTGCCCTTTTGCTCCACATATATTAGAGAAACTGTTTCTCGTCTATTTTAAATCACAGTTTTCCCAGTGAGAGTGCCTATTAATTTTAGTAAAATTATTACATAAACCTTGGGGAGAGGAGACATAAAAGAACATAATGGAACATGAAAATGCCTCTCAAATTCACAAACTATGAGTGCAATTGTAATTCAAAGATATGCCAGCCAGGGTAGGAAGTAGGATTATGAAGAAGTTGCTCATGTCAGTGGAACTGCCCCAATACCAGCTCTAATATCTGGTGGCACGACTGCTCTGCTTGGTTGAATGTGAAAGAGAGCAGTGAGAGAGGAACCAGCTATGCAAGAATTAAACTTCTTTCAGCCCATGGACACATGGGCCAAGATTCAGGGACTCCCAAATAATTTTTAACCTTCCTAAACTGGGAGAGTTTTGATTTCACGGTTTCAGCTAGCCTACTGTTGATTCAGCTGCCCCTAAGTCATTTTGGTAATTTAAGATCTTATTCTTGGTACCCCAACGAAAGCAATGCTGGGCCTTCAAAGGCATTCAATAAATGGAGTTGAATAGCAGAGAAGGTCATCTCCAATGTTCTAGTGTGACATACTGTTCCCACTAGTGGAGCATGAAGGAGAGCATTTCCAGTAGATATCTGTTGTCAGGCAGGTGCATATAGGGATGGACACTCTACAAATATTGAGATCCAATCAATTTATGACTTTTTATGTCATCACCAGCCACTTGAATTCAGACTGCAAGTACAACTCTTTTAAGACTGGTGTTATTCTCCCTCTATACCAGTGGTTCAAAACCTGTGAACAAAAATATGGTTTGCGGCCTCACCATTACTACACCGTTGCCTTGAAACTATGTGCCTTGAAACTACTGGTCTTGTAAAACCATCTTATAGTGCTGAGGCAATGGGGATGTTGGGAGGGGAGAGGCTGACTACCCATGAAAGTTTACTACTACCACATCAGCTCTAGATTATTAAATATGGTTTTCTGTAGGTGAGTAGATGATGACTACTGGATTACATATGTTTTGTATTAGAAACTAGAGCTGATGTGGTCTATCCAATGCAATTTTCTGAATGAGCACTCCAAATAACCAAACTGAATCTCAAGATGACAAAAAAACTGATTTGCAACCCTTTTGGTATTAATGTTGGGGAGTGGTCCCTGTTCTAGTGGTCCCTGGTTAAAAAAGGTTAGGAACCACTGCTCTATATGACACCCTGGTCAGTAATCTTGCTGGTCCATTTTGCATTAGCTGTAGCTTCTGAATTACCTTTAAGAAGAACTGCACAGAGAGCACAATGTAATAGTTAAATAAGGAAGTTACAAGTGCAGAGTGGCTAGGTAATCTGTGTGCAGGAAAGGCCACAGCTGATGTTCTAGTCAGAACTGGCACGGAGTCACAGGGTCCATTTGGACTTCCAATGTCAGAGATGAATCTAGAAATAGGCCTAAACTATACATCTCTCCACACCCAGAGGAGATTGGTTTTACAAAACTAGGAAACCACATTCCACTTCAGTTTACTGGCCCTTATCCAGTTCAATCAGCATCTGTACAGCCCCAACCAACTTGAACAATGAGGAGAAGCAGAACTGGCTGTCATCAGTATACTGATATCGCCCTGCCTCCAAATCCCTTGTGACAGTCCCCACACAATTTCATAGATGTTGTACACATGGGAGAGAAGTGGAACTCTGTGACACCCTATAACTTTATGAGCATGGGACTAAGCAGAAAACACCCAGTGCTATTTCACATAGAAGCAGACCCACTGTAACAGTACAAAAATAAAAAAATCTAATCTGATGGAACTCATCTGGCAAGACAGTAGGCATCAAAAGCCACAAAAAGATCAACATGATAGCATTTCACCCCATCTGTAGATCATCAGTTAGAATGACTTAAAGTCACTTCAGTGCTGTGCCCTGTCCTTAAAACAGACTGAAATGGGTCCAGATAATCTAACACCTGACTTTTCTGGCCATCACAATATCACGTGCTTCAACCAAATTGAGGCTATTTGTGGTGGGCTAGCAATACTCGTACATCTAAGAATTATCGTACACTTATGGAATGTCAACACTTACAGAAATCCTGTTGATTCACTGGGTCTTTGCTAGTTAAGACTAGCAACTGGAGTTAGGCCTAATTCTCAAAAAGGAATTATAGAAGAGAATTAGGGGAAGGAAAAGGGATTGAAAAGCATTAGTTAAACATACTGTTTGCCCTTGGTGGGATTTGTAGTTCAGCACATCTGTAGTATGACACATTGGGGGGAAACTGCAAAACAAATGAATAATGCAGCACCTAATAATGGGGCTAATAAATCTGCCATGCCTAAGAAACCTACGGTTACGACTGATGAGGCCATAGTAATAAATTAAATGAAGAAATGCACAGACCTTCTTCAGTACTGACAGTGGCATCAACCAGTTTACATATTTCTGCGCAGTCTTCCTGTGACCGATCATCAGACGTTAAATAACATTCCACACAGTTCCTGAGAAAAAAAAATGATTCAACAGTTCATCAATCTCTGCCTGTTACAACAAGGCACCAACAAACAAAAAGGACAACCATCTTCCTCTTTAAAAGTGCATTATAAAATATCTTCTGTCATCAAGAAATAATTATCATTAATCTATCATCACTGGATTTCAAAATAGAAAAATAAACCTGTAGGCTTAAGACATACCTTAATATTTTCCTCTTCGAGTTATCAATAAATGTGAAACAGAACAGAAAAGCAGAATAGAGGATTTTCCCTATCTAGAAAAAGTTTTAACAATGTATTGTCAAAGGCTTTCATGGCCGGAATCACTGAGTGGCTGTAAGTTTTCTGGGCTGTATGACCATGTTACAGAAGCATTCTCTCCTGACGTTTAGCCTGCATCTATGGCAGGCATCCTCAAAGGTTTTAACACTTTCAACAGAGCACAGCAACATTATTCACTTTCTTTATCTAGAATGCATTTAAAAATACCTTCTCTACCACTGTTTTAACAGAAGGTGATGAGTACATTTATTTAACTATTAATAAATTGTGAATGTTGCTTACATTAAACATTTCTCAGTACAAACCACAGATAATAAAATACCATATATGAATAAGAGCAGGAGAGCTTGTTGAAAAAGCATAAATCCCAAAGGGTGAGTGCCTGTCTAATTTACCCAGGGAAGTAGATACTTTAACAATGAGGTTCTCTTCTAATCCAAACTATCATGGAATAGGCCTCTCCTATTGATATTACCAGGAGAGCATCTCCTGATAACAGGGACGGTTCTCTACTGTTTCTCAATATGAGATAGCTGGGGAAACAGCAGAAGCAGTCCAGTTGTTTCTCCTAAGCATCTTGATTATCCTATTTTCTTGAAAGATAGACTTATGTCTGCCTCACCTCTTCCCTGCACTCCATAAATTAGCTGTTGCCTTCAGCTATGGTGGAAGGCTCTATCCATTGAATCTGAATGAGGCATCAGGTGGTCTCTTAGGAGCCATCTCTTAGGGCAGTGGTTCTTAACCTGGGGTCCCCAGATGTTTTTGGCTTACAACTCCCAGAAATCCCAGCTAGTTTACCAGCTGTTAGGATTTCTGGGAGTCGTAGGCCAAAAACATCTGGGGACCCCAGGTTAAGAACCACTGTCTTAGAGGCTATCTTCATGATCCAGATCCACTGAAGTCTGCATGGCCAGCTACTGAACCAGTGGCATCAACCACTGGTTGTCTGCATACAGTAGTGTAGGAACTGGTCTCCCCCTATCATTCTGCCCTTAGAGGTGACCACTGGTCACAAAACTAGTGGTGGTTGTCATTTGGCACCTGTAGTGTTGGTAGGAAGAGTGACAAAGTGATGCAAGAGACAGGAGCAGGGAAAGGAGTAATCACTCCCTTCTTTACCTCTTCTCTTGTCTGATTACTTAGTTGGTTCAGTCAGCTTCACTAGATAATGAGTGAAGACCACCACCAGTTTCATGCACAATGGCAGATGCTAAGGCTGGAATAACAGGGGAAGGTAAGTGCCACCCACCTTTCCCAGATGGTCCGAGCCCAGGGAATGTGGAATGACTGTGTGGCTGTGTGAAGAGCTGTGGCCATTTCCACTGTCTACACTGGCTCAAAATGTGAATGAATTCCGAACTTCAGGGAAGCTCTGGGACATCCCAGAATCTTTTAAAACATGGGACAAGGCAACAGTAAGGTGAATGGACCCCACCATGATCTGTATAGATATGCCCTTAGACAGAGTGAATACAATGACCTATCTTCAAGCTCCATGCTGAAGCCATTGATAACTGAGCAATTGGTAGGATGCTACTCAGGATCCAAGTTTTCATCTCAAAAGTAATCATTGAGCTCTGCTCTTAGATATTGCTTACTTTTTCTATGAGGTGTGTGAAAGGGGGTGGTTGATGAAAAGATTTAGATACAACATAATTCAATTCAATGTAGAGTGGCTAAATCACGTGAGCACAAAAGAAAACAAGACCTAAATTGCTTTCAACACCCACAGAAGTTAGCAGATAAGTTATTAATTATACATCTGGGACTGCAACCAAGCCTGAGTTTCCTGGCTGAAGAAAATAATTCATGACATCAATGTAAGAAAGTAGTTTCCATGCAAATTACCAGGAAGACATGACTAATCTAAACTTGCATGAACCTATGAGCAATTATGCTCACAAACACATTTTTCATGCAGGGCAGGATGAACTGTGTGGCTTTCCAAACATCATGGTATGGGGAACTGCCTTGATGTTGCAAGGCAATGCATGGCAGTGCAGCAATAGGGGCTGACCTTTAAGCATCTTGATCGATGTGTAAAAAACTGATTTCTGTTTTTGTTTAACTGCAAATTCCTAAAAGATCATATTGAACTCCTTACTTCTCAGAGCTGAAACAAACAGCCAAGACTATATTTGGCATACATTCTTAAGTAGAAGCATTGATTTGTATTCTAATACTTTTTAGTACAACATTTGAGTTTCTCCTTTAAAGATGCCCAATTGGTCCTTTTTATTATTTTGGTTTTGGCAGCTGTAAATATGAACTCTCCTAAGAGATGATGCAATCATGATTGAAGAGACTGAAGCATGAATCAGAAACTTCCGCAGAGTCCGAGCTTGCAGGAAGTACTGGGAAAAAATAGAGGTCTACCAACCAACATTTCAGCTCTGAGCTGC